GGGGGTCTCGCTGCCCTCCTTCCGGGGGCGGGCTGCGAGATCCCCCGCGGAGGGCGGCTGCCGGCGGAGCAGGAGGCGTTGGGGCTGATCCTCCTTCTCCGGGCCGAAGTCCCCTCGGCCTGAGAGAGAGGGGCATCTCCGTACGGAGCGGGTGATGGGGCGGCCAGCTCATCACGGAGCGCGGCATGTGCATAAGCTCTTCTTTTCCCAGTGGTACACATTGCACTCTCCGTGTCACGAGTGGCATTTGAGCACATCTGTAAATGGCGTCAGACTTCATCTGAAAGTCCGGGCCACTTGGGGAGAAAACAGATCTGTCGGACTAACGGCAAACAGAAAACCTCAGGCCACAGGGGGCTGTTTTGCTAATGATTGAATGTTCTGGTGTCGGTGCTGATTACCCGCCCCCCTGTGCTTCTGCAGATGTGGACTTGAGTGATTTTATACACACATCTGCTTGTATACTAGTAGCCGTGAAAGGTTTCCGGCAAAAAGGATTACCCGTGTCCAGCAGGACGTCGCGCGGTGATTTTGTGGTAGTGCCATTTGAATGCCATGAGGTTTACAACGGTTATATGTAACATGTAAGAAAAATGCCTCTGGCTCTAGTAAATTTTCACTTCTTACCGTGATGCTGATTGAAACCTTTTTTTTTTTAAATTTAAAGATGAAATGTGTGTGAGTCAGATGTTGGGGTTTTAAGAACAGAGCTCTGCTACTATAGATAAAATTGTGGAACTGGATGGTATTTCACACAGATCATGCTGTAGCAACATATCTAATGTACCCATTTCTGATATACTTGCTGATATAAGAAATATGTTTACAGTGGAATATTCTTTCTGGGTATTTCTGTTTATGATTTTCAAAATAGGCAGCATCTGCTTGTACACTAAGAAAAAATGAGCTAGTGTTTTAAGTTGTGAACACCTGAAGTTAAACCACAAACTCCTTTTCTTGGTACCAAAACGGAGTGGCCAGTTTTTAGAGATTTAGTGTATTTTGGACCTCCCAGGGGAATTGCACTGTTACCTATAAGAATAAGCTCATACTGGTGTGAGGCTAAAATGAGTTTAAGGAAGCATCATCATGTTTTTTTTAAAATGAAAAATACGCTCTGAAGTTGTTAAATCAGTTTACAGAGTTTTCTTTAATAAGTTTGTATTATACCATAACAACCTTATTTAAAGTAGTAACAGGCTTATATAGTATTATTAAAAAACATGATAAGCAGCAAATAGGTTAGGTTATGTTTGAACCTAAGTTTCTTTAATTGTTTTGTGGCTTGATAAGGGACAAATGCTGAAGCTTTCTTGGCTGTTACAAGAAATTACCCAATAGTGAATGTGCTGAAGTGTGTTGTCCCTGGAAGTAACCAGTATCAGGAAGAAAACATAAGAATCATACAGAACCGTACCAGAGGAAGACATTTCTCTTTAAGCTCCACCTTCACTTTTTTTTTTAAAAATGTTGTAGGGACAGGGAGAAGTGAAGATAATTGTTACCTTTTTTTTCCCCCGATTTGTGACCACCTAAGTGGAAGACAAAAAGTCATGTAGTAGTTTTAAAAGAGCAGAAGGTAGGTGAGTTTAAAATATCTATAGCTCTTAAAGGAAAATGAGGTCTCAGTAAAGATCTGTCTGTCCATGCATGCACGCAATTGTGCAGTGCGCTCTGGGCTGCAGGTAGTGTTTTCAAAAACATCTAAATGATTTATGTGCCTAGGTCCCAGTTTTCAAAAATGTTGTTGCCATGTAAGAGTGTAGGTCCCTCTGGGACCAGTCAAACTTTGTGTACCTCATGGCTGCTTTGTGGAGAACCTCAGGGGCTGGGCAGCTGCAGCATGTCACTTCTCTGTCATCCCAAGGAGTTCTTGTTCGCTTCTGCATAACCACAGTGGCAGGTGCCCAGTGATAATAGAACACACATTTTAATGGTCATGGGGCCGGATTCATCCTCGATTTATAGTATTGTCTTTAAAATGGGGTTGCCGTACAGGATAGCACGTCAGGAGAAGGCTGTAGCAGTGAGAAGGTCAATCCCTTCACAACTCTGAACATGACTGGTGTTACAAATAGGATGGCAGAGACCGTGCTGGACTGCTGTATCCCATCTACAGTGTCTATCAGTGTGGATCTAATCTGGTTACATCTGCCGAAGCTGAACGAAACCTTCCCAGGAGGAAAATCTATGTGAACTATGTGCAATGCTCTTCCTATTTCTTTTCCTAAATAAGTCACTCCTTCATCCTGCCTCTTCATGGCTCAGTTAATCTTAACTTTATTTTTCATTCAGTAGCACCATGTCAGCTGAAGAGGTGCGTCCCCCCATATGTGACCCCCAACAAGCAAATCTGTAGGTTTTCAGATGCTATTCAGGGAGGTGGTAGCTCCAAACTGGGTAATCCAGTTTTTTGAGAATTGCACTAATGAGTTCGAGACTCTTCAGGCAGTTCACAGCACAACGGGAAGCTGAGGTGGCCATGATTTAGCAAGTTTTAAGCTTCCCTTGGTGGTGTTTTTAGACTGGCTCTATTAACTGTTGTGTAAAGCTTCCCGATTCTTGTAATACGTAAACATATTTCTGTGTAACATGTGTACTAGGTGAGCCTTTGTGATCCACTCTGTATGCTTTGAATTACCAGTTCTTTTGCTTTATGTTCTCATCTTTAACATTTTACCTCAGTTTTTGAGAGCTGGTCGTACCTTCTCCTGCCAGTCCTGAAAGAAAAGAGGGACCTTTGAGGGGCCATAGCTCTAAGTAAAGTGCTTAAGCCTCAAGAAAGGCAGGATTTATAAAGCACTTGTCTTCATCCTTTCCTTGGGGCTGGCGTTGCTTTGTGGCTCTGCCGTATGCAGTTGCTGGTATGCGCTGTTCTGAGTTGTCCAGTTCCCTCTGTCCGTCGTACGGGAACAGGAGTCGTCTAAAAACAGTTGCTGGGGTCTCTTGCTGTTCTTTTCACTGGGACGGAAGCTGGGCACTGTCGTGCTGCAGGTTGATAAATGCAAGTCAGAAAAAGGGGTTTTTAAAACCCACTGGTGGTGTGACATCTTGTCACTGTTTCCAAATCAAATGTCCTTGGGTTGCTAATGAAATGAATGCTTCTGGTTTTTCCTAATTATTAAGTCTCAGTGATGAGAACTGAGTTCAGCCCTCTTCAGCGTTGTCAGCAATGATGAAACTCTGCACGGGAACTGTGACGGAGCAGACACTCGCCTCCCAGCCTTCAGTGGTTTCAGGTGTAATGGTCTGGAACTTGGTAAACAGGGGCTGTGCCATGGTGCCAGCCCCGCAGTGTCAGAAAATGTTTTCATTATAAAAGTGGTTTCCTAGCTGCTGTGTAGTTCTAGGGGTTACACAGAGGTGATGAGGGACTCGGTTACGTCGGTAAGGGGTTGGTAGCCTGTTGTGACTGTAGTGTCAGTTGGGTTAAGCAGCATTGCTGAGGTGGGACTGTGGATATAAATTTTTTACCAGCCTGGCTGGGGTGGGATGCCTGCTGGCTCACCAGCATTTTGGAAAGGCTGGGTAGTGGTGCCGTGCAACCTCAGCCCTCTCTGCGAGCTCACCCTGTCCCTGCTCCTTGCAGCACCCTCCTTGCCCCGGCTCTGGCCCTTCCCTCAGCCCTCGTGCCGGCAGAGGTCAGAAGACCTTCTGAACACAGATGCAGCCGGGCAGCTTGGTGGGCAGGGAGTGCTCCTGGGAGTCTGGGTGGGCTTTGGGGCCGCCAGCCCAAGGAGAGGAGTTGGCAGTGGGATGGAGCAGAGACCTTTTAGGTTGCAGGGGAGTGTGCCTGGGAGCGCAGCCTGGTGTGGTGGGGGCCAGGAGTAGCAGCCTGGCTCTGTGCCGGGATGGCAATGGCGATGGCTGCCAGGTTGTCCTGTCCAGCCCAGCATAAACAGCAACCGCAGCTGCTCCTCGCTGCCCAGCCTGGGGAAACCCAAGCCTTTGGGGGTCCCTTTGGCTGCTGTTGCAACCTCCAGTGCAACAAACAGGGTGATAAGGCTGGCGTCGCAGAAGGTGTCTTGGCACGCGAGGGCGAAGGCGCGGAAGGACCAGTGGAGAGCCCGAGGGTGTGTTCAGATGGCCTCTGTGGCAAAGGGGCAGGAGGATGTTTCCATCCCCGCAGTCCCTGGCGGCTGCTCCCAGGCTGTGGCTGGCTCTTCCTCTAGCTGGGTCGAGACAGCTCTTTGCGGGTCTGCAGCATTTGGTGGGTTAATGGTGTGACTTAGATTTAAAAGCAAGCCAGCACTGCAAAGGAAAGCTTTTTCTTTTTTTTTGCAAGGTGGTGGGGTGGGCAGAGCTGAGGAGAGTGGTGAGCCGTGCCCGGGTGGGAAGCGCAGACCATGAAGAGACCATGCCTTCAGCCTCCTCAGAAATCATCCGAGCTGCGGTCCCTCTCTCTTTGGAAAATGGCATTTCACTCCTGTGGCAGTCTGCCTGTCTTGCAGTGTGTGCAAGGGCTGCTGTACGCAGCTGTCAAGCCCATGAAGATTTTATTACTGTGTGAGACAAGCAATGGAGCAAAAAGAGCAATGCTGACAGGAGTGACAGTGAACAGTCTTGTGGCTCCAGAGGTTAACTGTGTGGGTTGCTCACATCCTTGAAACTTCATAGTATTACAGTTTAATACAGATTGCTATCAAGCTGTGACTTACTGGGGCCCTTCATGCTTCCTCCAGCTGAATTTTACAAACTGCATTTGTTTTCCACTTTAGATACTTTAGATATGTTCTGTCTTCACAGAGTCACCTCTCTAGTCAATATTAATCCCTGTGTTGTGAAAATATAAAACAAAAAAAATAAAGTTCTAAATTTACCAGCAGGTAATTTTCTTTTATTCCTCCTCCTGGCTTAAACCGGGAAGAGCTTTGTGCTGTATAATTTTGGATCCTTTGATGGAGGAATGCGTTTGTAACAGCAGTGGGTGGTTGACCTCTGTGATCACTCAGTGCTAGGTAGGTGAGACCCAGTTTCAAAAATAGCAAGTTGATTAGCTCTTTGCTAACATCAAGTGCTGAACAAAGAAGCAGCACTGGCTTCCACCGATCCCAAAGTGGAAATCTGAGCAAGACTTGAAGCATTGTATTGACCCTCTGAGTGATACACCGGAAGCATCATTTTCTTGTGGCTGCCTGGATTTTTACTTCTTTAAAATGACTTGCAACAAGATCATTTCATAGGATGTGTGACTCGCTTTGAATTTGTGGGATTTTCTGATTATATTGCATTAGTTAATAAAGGAAGACCAAATGCTTGATTTTCTTTGGGATATGAATGGTACTACTGAGTTCCAAAATATTGTCAGGAGTGTTCATTAAGGAAACCCTGCAACTTTTGTCTTTGAAAGGGACACAGTAAAATAAGGCCATTCTTATATTTAAGGATTTATAATAATTTGCAAATATAGTTTGGATTAATTTGCCATTTCTTGCTCTATTACTGGTGCCTGCTCTTGTTTGCCAAAAGTTTTGTGTGTCTTTTATAATTTATTCTGCAATTTGGACTGTTTTCCATCAATTAAAACCTTCAGAAGATGCTTTTCTGTAGTTTTATGTATGACTAGCTTGTTAAATAATCCACATTTTATGCTGACCATTGAACTGGTTTTATAAGAGGAGATGATATACAGTATTCTGTTGTATTCTAATGCTGGCAATGTAAGACAAATGTCAGCTTTTAGCAAGGTAGCCACCATCAGCTTTAAGCACAGATTTTTTCATTGCCTGTATGGGCCACAGTTATGAAACAGCCAGATCCAAACTTTCTCAACAATCGCCATGCTTCTAGAGCAGTGGGTTTTGGAGTGGCCTATTTTAGGCGGAAGGCCGAATTATGTTTCACGTCACAGACACTTTTTGTCATTTCCAGTTGGGAAATGGACCAGGAAACCTGTTTTTAAGTGATTTGCAGATGTCTAATGCCAATATAGGATTTTTAGCAATGCTTTTGGGGCCTGTTTCAAGGATAGGGCTGAGGAAAATAAATTGTGATTTGAGATTTCTTGTGTTTAGCTCATATGCAAAAGCCTGGGCTGTTGGCAGAAGTGTTAAGGTGAGGGCCTCTGTGGCCTTCCCCCTCTAGTCCAGTGCCATGGGCTGTGCAGGGGGACAGGAGAGTCTGCTTGGACCCTCCAGCTGCAAACCAGGGGTCCCTCCATCAGCATCTGCACCCTGCGCTGGGCATGCTCTTGGGGCAGTACTGTTTGATGTGTTTTTCCAAAACATTACATGTTCAGGGATAGCAGAAAGGCTTAATTGATCAGTTAATAAACTTAAAAAGTAAAAAGTAATAAATTAATTAAAGGCCTAGTGTTTCAGACTGGGCTAAGCTTTCCGTCAGTTGGCTCCAGGGGTCAAGCCGGAGCTTCTTTGACAAGGAGAGAATTTTGTATTTAGTATTTCCTGCGTTTTGTTGTCATGACCCCGCTGCTATTTGCGTTCAGAAATATTCTTCCAGTTGTGTTGCGTGGTCTGAGATCAGAAGCAACATGTTGGAAAGCCCGTTACAGTCAAATGGTTTTTCTTTTATTGGCTAAGTTTGGGATCAAAATATTGGAAATATTTTTATAAGCCTTCAATGTAAGGCCCCAATCCAGAAAAACACTTAGATGTACATACTTAGCTTTTAAGTCCAGTTGATTAAATGTGAAAGAAAATGCCACAGCATGCTGTTGGTTTAAGACTGAATTTATATATTTCTGAGAAGCTGACACGCCTCATTTGTGCTAAGGAAAATAATCTAAAATTTCTCTTCAGTATGACTTAAGATTTTTAACAAGTTCTGTTATCCCTCTCGGACTTGGGTCTGCATTTACCCTGCTAGCACAGGTGACGTGGCTTCTGTTAGTGTAGGTAGTATATCTGTGAAGATCTGAGAATATGTTTACAGTGGATGTGTTTGAATTAATTACTAGGAAATAATCACAGAAATTCTGCTGTGACCTGAAATGATGTTATCTTTAAAAGGGGAAAATAGAGAAACTTTCCAGTGCTATTGAATCTGCAGTCTGCCAGTTGTCTTATAATTGGGCATGGTGAACTGGTGAACAACAGTGGAAGCATTCAAATGAAATTATTTGCGCAATATTTTGTAAGTCTTTTTGAAATGTAGTGATGAAAATTTTCTTACAAATTCAATTACTTACAATACAGTATTTCCACAGATGTGCAGAGTCCTGAACACTTGGGCAAAGGAGCAGGTAAGAAAGATTGGAAAAGGAAAAGATGCTAGTTAGTAACAGATGTACTGATGTGCTGTAGTGACAGAGGTGAAGGGAACCACAGCATGTCTGTGTTACAAAGCCAGGCTGTTGTCCTCCAACAGCATAGCCTGAGCACAAGGAAGTTCTAGAAGACCTGAGAGTTTGTTGGAAATCACGCATTGGGTTCATATTTTATTGCATGTGACCCTGCAGTTTTACAATGCACTTCTACCCTATGTGGACCCAAAGTGGTGGTCTTTGTTACAAGCGGTTGTTATATTACTTCATACCATAAGCATGCATGTAATGGATGCTGAACCAGGAAGTTCCTGCCCTGAAAAGCTTATGCAAGACAGCCTGTTAAGTTGGAAAGCTCTTTAATGCTGGCAGTAATTTACCAGTTGCCATGGGATGCAGAAATACTGCTGAAGTCCTGTTTTTCGCTTAAGAATTATTATGCATAAAATGGTGATACCTGTAAGTCCACCTTAGCTTTTATAGCTCAGGAAGAGTTCCCAGGGGTAAGAGTTCAACAGATACCAACATGCTTATGGGCTGAGCTCTTGTGAAATAGTCTTGAGTGTTAGCTTACAAGAGCTCTGGCTGCATTTCAGGTATCTAATGTTCTTGCAAGTGACTTGCTCTATGTGTAGTTAATTTTTAAAAGGGTTTAAGATATTTTAGGACACCGTGCTGAACACAGAGGCTGGATTCTTGCAGTGGTTGTAATAAGGGGAAGTTCTTCTTTCCCTCCCCTCACTGTATACTTGAATAAGGGTTTGTCACACACTGCCCTACACTGACTTCTCACAGGTGTGCTTTCACCTGAAAATGGTGTCTCCCTCCTTCCCAGGCACTGAAAATCAGCTTTGGATCTTTTGGGTATTTCTAATTCTTGTAATCAGCAGTAAAGGTTCTCTACAGGTACTGCATAAATATACTGGAGTCCTGAGACAAATCTATTAGCTCCAGGATTATCTGTTGCTATTTAATGAGTATTTGCTTTCATCTAGTCATTCTGAGGGTAACAATTTCTGGACTGGAAAGAGTTACATGATGTGTAACTATACTTTTTTTTTTTTTCTGAGATTCTGCCAACCTGCTCAGCAATGCAAAAATACTGTCTCTAATAGTCAAGATATTTAGGAAAACCCAAATTCTTGAGAAGTGACATAGAAAAGTGCTTGTGTGTAGTGGATTCACTAGACACACAGTATGTGCAGAGCTGAGGTATGGTGCTTGGCAGCACTTTTCTGCTCCTGAAGTAGTGTTTTGGCTAAGACACAAGATAGAAATTATTGCTCTCTGTTATCAGTACAAATTTGTTGCAGTTTCAGTAAGCGACTTATAACTTGGTTGTTCTGGCTAGTTTCCAGCACGACTGTACTTTGCCTAAATGAACTAGCCTGTTTACGCTGGCTAGTCATTATATGATTTCTCATTAGGTGCCCCTGTCTGGATCTACAATGTGTCATTAAAGGCAGTTGCTGCTGTTTTGTCCAATAAGTGGTTATATTTCAATAATGGATGAAATTATTCTGACACAGAGATGTGTGCCTTTTAATTTCTTTTTGCAGGGAATTGAACAGTGTCCGGAGCAGCATGCTGTTTTGTGAGAAAATGTGTGTATGTGTGCTTTTCACACCAAAGGGGACATAATGGTACTAAAATGGTACAGCTAATGGTACTAAAAATTTGTTGTTTAGTATTGGCAGTGTAACCTAGTTTTCCTGAGTTTGGTACTCAACCAATGAACAGTGCTTATTGTCTGGTGTTGAAGGGGCTGAATGTTTCTTGCAGATCTTGGTTTAGTAAAGCTAATTCCGAAGCAAGACAAATGCACGTTAGCCTCTACTTATCAGTGTTTAACTGGTGCAGTACATCTAAAGGCTTTGACTCTGGCGAGTCCTTTACAAGGGGGTGGGGTGGGCTGGGGCAGAAGAAAGCAGCAGCAAAAATTGAAGCATGCACCCGTTTGTGCTGGATGGGTGGGTGGTGAAATCAGTGCGGACACAATCAGTACAGCAGGTGATCACAGGTCTGCGTCACCCCGTCCTCTGAGACAGGTGAGCCAAGTGCGGCGTACTTGCTCGCTGACCCTGTCGGGACAGCGGCACGGTCACTTGCCTTGCTGATGGCACCCTCGGATTTTGGAGGACAGATTACCTCTGTGCCATGCGGGCTTTTTAGGTTTTGTCTGCTGTCGCTCCCTGTCAGCAAGGGTTTGAAAGAAGTGAGTGGTGCAGGTGTCTCTCTAAATTTTATGCTCTGATCTCTTTCTTTACTTCTGGAAACCTTAATTTCTGAATGTTACTTACGTTTAACCAAATTTGACCTGACAGTGTCCCTTTAATACCGTATTATGCAAGGATCTCAGACATTAAAGATATTGGAGAAGTGATTAAAAGCAATTGTCTAAAAACTACTCATGTGCCTTAAATTTCAGAGCCAAACTCTTGCCACTCCATTGACTAAATCAGTCTAGAAATCTCCAAAGCCTCTTCTGTGGCAGGGAAGTATAAGTAGCATTCCTAATCCTCAGACTGGCGAGAAATGAGAAGGCAAATCTCCCAAACAGAGGTCTCAGGACTTTCTGGAAGGAAAATTGGAAGGAAAATTGCAATATAAACTTGGCTGCAGGTATATCAGAACAGAAATTTGCCAGTCAGAAGGAACATGTAGGTGTATTTTTGTCTCCCTTAGGGTTTGGTGATAAAAGGGGTACGGGTTGATGCTGGCTGAGGTATACGTACCTCACTGTAGTGACGGGAGAAATTTTAATTTTTTGTTGAAGTTTAATTAAATGATGACAGTTTTGAAATGTTAGCTAGAGTTTTATGAAAGGAGATATACATGTTGCAGAGGTCTTTAACAAAGCTAGGAACCAAGAGCAAACAGCAGTTCAGAAGTCTTCTCTTCTCATTTTTACTTGCCCAGCCCTGAAGTCATGGATGACTGTAAAAAGCATGAAGATTTAAAACCCTTTTCCTGATTATACAATTAGCTTCGAAACCTAAGTAAAGCCTTAGATTAAGACATGAATGTTCTTGTTACGGTGTAAATTTTACACACTAAGTGAAGATTTCACCTTATATAAAATTAAGAGTAATGGTAAATGTGTTGTGTCTCACAGTGTTTTAGTTTTGAAATTTGTGCTTCAAAAGGTGAAATACAGTGATACAGCCTTGTACTTTATTTTTTCCTATGATTGATTGGATTTTCAATGTATGTATTTTTAAGTAGTCCATCTGTTCAGGAACTTCATTAAAGAAAAAAATGGGGGACTTTGCATACTATGTTTTTTGCTATATTCACAGGTTTATTATAAGTTGAGATGAAAATAAATGTTGAAGTTACAGGCTTCATCAGGGTCATGTACAGATGATATGCTATCTAAGTACTGCTTTTTTAAATGTAGAAGTTACAGGAAGCAAGGTGAAAAAGCGCAGCGTAGGCAACACCCTGGCAAGCTCTTTATGTAAATAAGCAAAGATTAATGTTGAAATATCTGTATGGGAAGATGTTATGTTTCTCTGCAGGGCAGGGGGAAAACTCCTAGTATTGTATCAATTGCACTTTGAAATGTTGTTTTCAGTTCTATTTACTGAGAATCCTGAAGTGGAGTTAAATGAGATGAGTGTTGTGCTAGGGGAGTCTCTGTGCCACTGGGTGAGGTGCATCCTTGCTTCTTTGAGACTCAAAGGTCAAATAAATTTCATAGTGATCTTGTTCAGCTGAAAAAAATGGGAATTTTGTCAATGACCTCTATAGTAGCAAGGTTAGATTCATGGCACGTGATCTGAAGCTATGTTTTTTTTTTTTTCCATTGGCTTTGTTAGACCTTGAGCCTGACCCATTGTGGCTAAAGTGGCCTGATCAGCTGTGGCGTGTGTTGGTTGCTGCCCTTACTGCCTCAGTTGCAGAAAAACACAGGTGCTTTTGGACCAAATTGAAAAAGGAGACACAAAACATCCGGAATTTTAAAAGTTGATATTTTTGTCTTAACCCTCAACTGCCCTCCAAAACCTAAAAAAAGGAGAATTTTTTAAAACAAGCTATGTTTTTTAGGAGACACCTTAGATGTTTAAAAAGCTGATAGTAGAGAAGAAGCCTTTTCATCTCCCATATTAGATGTTGTAACTTCAACTCACACGGTGTATTGCCATACCTGAGGACTGTAAGTTATATTTTGGTTTGAAATAACCACACCAAACAGCTGTTGTGTACCAGATGACTTCTCCCCCCTTTAAAATAATTGATTTGTGTTTTATCTTGTATTGTGTAAATTTATGATGAGAAACACTGAGCTTTGGAGATAAAAACTTCTTGGACACCCCTTTTCAAGTGTATTCACATATGGATTAGCTGAGTGCCAGTGCCTTGCTTAGCTGGCAGCATGTTTTGCTCTTGGTGCCTAGGCTGATGCAATGCTTCCCTATTAGGCTGGGCTCTATATCTCCAGTGCTGGCCTTCACACCTGGAAAGATACCCAGATAATGCTTGATTTCCGGAATATGTCATGCTGGAGGTGAAGTAGCTCAAGGGAAGCTACCTGAGACTGTGCGATGCCAACAGCTTTCTCAAAATTACTTTGAGCTACTAGTGCTCTTACGAAATCAAAGTGACAGCAGTTGGATGTTGTTCTTCTCTCATAGGGCTGAGCATGTTGCCTCAGCAAATGCTGTAAGGCTTGTCAACCTCTTGGCCATTCTTTCATACCCTTTCCTGTTAATGAAAAGTTTAGTAAAGTTCATTCTTATCCAAGGCATTCCACAACATAAAAGATTTTTTGTTCCCTAGTTCTGATTGAAAACCAGTTACCAGAAATAGTAATGGGTTTCAGAAAAATCAGGGTCCCAGGGTATTGTAATATTGGAAACACTTCACTGTTTTGCTTGGTAGCTCAAACAACTAGAATAAAGTGGTTTAGGAAGCATGAAACAATACTGATTGCTAACAAGAATATTACTGAAAGGTCTTTGAAAGCAGCGTGTACCTGCCCTCAGGTAATGAAATTTGCTTTACTGTTTCCAAGGTTTTTCTCTGGATTTAATTTTTGCACCTTGTCTTCAGTAGGTCTCTTTCTTTAATTTTCTTGCGTGACCGTGCTCTGTCCAACCCTGAGGATCTTCTACGCTGTTACTCCTTCATTTGAAGCTCAACCAGACACAATTCAATTAGTTGCTCCCAGAAGAATATGCACGCACACCAATACCAGCAAACTGCTTTTTAATGATCTCTTTCATCTTTGTCAGTGGGGGCCTGTTTCAGAGTACTTTAAAACCAAAGGTAGGACTCCTGTTAGTCTTGGTGGAAGCTGGGTCCCCACCTGTAGACAAGCCGATAGTTCACTCATGTTGCTCGTGGCCCTCCGTAACTGCGTGACTGGCTGGGAGATTATGCGGGGGTATTCAGGGATGTGAAGCTGAAGTAAAAAAACCTCAAATGGGCCTGCTTTATTAAGGATCATAATTCCATTCCAGAGATAAAAAAGAGGTATTCTCTTTTATAAGAATTATTGCTGAACTCCATCCGTAAAATGCTCCCAGCAATACTCTTAATAAGTTGAATTACTGGCATTTGCATGAATTTAATTCTTTTCTAAGTCATTGTACAAAAGACGCACTTTACAAAAAAGTATGGAGACAAGTACTTACCATAAGTATTTTTACAGAGTCGACATTTTGCAGAAGAGCAATCGTTTTTAAACATGAGGAGTGAATAAGGAGTCAATGTTTATTATTTGATTACTGTTTGCCTTGTGTGCCTAATCATAAACCAGGACCCTACTGTGCCCTGTCCTAGAGAGCTTGCTGTCTATAAGCTAGACAACAGATAGACAGAGAGCGAGATGAACATGAGAAACAATGAGACAATAATGGTTGGAATAATTTTATTTACTCTTTATGATAAAATATCTGTCCATTGCATGTTTCATTATGGGGGTAGTTCCCTTTGACGACAAGAAAAAATCCTTTGCTTCCAGTGTTTACTAAATTCAGTCCCAGAGATTTCGAAGTTCAGCATCCAAAAACTATCGTTCCATTTGATGCTGATAGACCTGAAGAGAAAGAGATTCAAAGACCCCCAGTGAGGTTCTCTGAAAAAAATCTGTGTACCATAGTGACTGTTCAGTTTCTGAGCTGCAACAGGCTTCACTGAGGCAGTTTTCACAGTGTCCCAGGAGGCCAGTGGAAAAAACCCTCTACACTCTAAGTGCTAGGTCTAGTCTTTGGTCCCTGCTTTTGCATTTCACTGTAGTCCTAGTTCAGCAAACATATAACCAGGATGAATCTATTCTTAACTCTGTTAAGAATAATAAAAGAAAGAATCAACCGTCTCTTTCAGGTAAAAAGAAAATCTTGCCTTTTTTGACACTTACAGCTTTAGAAAGATTGCTAGTCTTCTGGCAGACGGGAAGTGCAGTCCTTTAAGCAGTTCTGATTCATCCTTACCACTTCCTCTATTGTACATGTGATTGACAGATCCTCTAAATAATTTTCATGTTTATTAGTAAGGGGTGGGAATACATTTTAATATTGATCTTTCTGTGGAGCTGTGTAAAGCTTGGGGGTGAAGGGCTAGGACTGTTCAGAGCTGTAGCTTCAGCTTATAGTGTTTGGTTTCATCTAACATCGTGATGGGAATCATTCTGTGTTATGTGTATACAGCCATGTAGACTTTATAGTGCAATTTTTGGCATTATGTTCTTAAGTTCAGCAATACAATTACATTTGAAATGTCTTTTCAGTCCCCCAAATCTTGGATCGAAGAGGTCTTCAGTAAAAGAGAGTGTGCACATATCATTCCCAGTTCAAAAGATCCTCACAGGTAAAACAATGAATTTCACTTTCTTTCTATTACATTTAGAAAGAATCAGAGTAATTTTTATGGGCATTGTGTGTAGCTTGGATGAAATTCTTTGCAGTTTTGCAATGCCTCAGTTGGTGGTTGCTGGTGTTCATAGGTTTTCATAGATACTGTCACCAGTACGTTTTAAATGAGGCTGTTCGTTTCAATTAGAAATTGGCAATAATTGACCTTCCTAGGCTTCTTAGATATGTTGCTCTCAGTCCAATAACCAAAACCGTGGTATGACATCCAATTGAGAGATTGAGTTACATGGAGTTACTGCTGCACAGGAATTCTTAATCCTGTACCACCATTTTCTCCCTTCCTCAGAATAATGCCTGTTGCTGATCACAGTCTTCTGAGATAGAGGTTTCTGTTCAGGCTGGCGTAGAGTGTGAAAAGTGTAAGGAGAAAAGCAAATCCTCCACCTGTGTTTTAGGACCTGAGAAAGCAAACATAATTTGGCATTCCAGATTGTGTATCTAGTGGATAGTGTTGCCTAAATAAACTCCGTGAGATCACACTCTGAGGATGTAAACTTGTAATTTTGATCATATTGTTTTGAACACATGGATAGTGTAGAGTAAATAAGATAGATAACTCATCTATGAAATGCAGATTTGACATACAGTCTGAGATTAAAACACCAGACAAATCACTGAAGTTACCCAGTACATCTTCCAGGGGTGAGTGCAGAAGAACACAGTCTTTAATGCTGTTGATGAGAATTTTTTCACAGGTGAATTGATATTTTATGAATACCATTACAGATGTTTTCTTTTATACAAGCATGTATTAATTATCCATCTTTTATCACAGGTGTCCTGCAGGATGCCAGGTGTGCCAGAATTTAATCAGGTAGGGGTGCATAAATATATATTGATGATTTTTATAATGACCTAAAGTTAGTGATGGGCATTCCTAGGCAAAGAAGTAACGACAACAAAAATAACCTTCCTCTTATATTGTCAGAGCAGCATTTCTGGGGGTGTGCTGGAGAATGTTTAGCATAAAGCTGGGTAAAATAAATTGTATGATAACCTTTAATTTATTTGCAATAGAAAATTTTATCCAAATACTTCGTGTGGATGAGTTTGTCTTAATCTTCTCCTGAGGAATGAAAGGCAGAAATGTGCCTTTAAATGGGAGACAATTCCACCTATATCCTGGGTGATATGAAGGAGAGTGAGATGAAAGCAGTGGACAACAGTAAGAATTATGGGAAGAGGAAGAACAAAATAAAGGGAGAAGAAAGAGGGTAATAGAAATATCCTAAAGTTCAGAAAGTTTCTGAAGGTTTTTGCGTCTTCTCTGCAGTGGGCATTCTGAGTCCCTGATTTTGGGAAGGCAAGCAACAAAAATTACATCACTTTGGTGCTTTTAACTTGTGTGTGGGTTTTTCAGACAGCTAGTATTTTGTGGCTTATATTAATTAGTTGTTTTCAGTCCAACATTTGTTGTTCAGCTGGTGTTCCCAAACAGGTTTCGATACTGTATGCTTATGATAATAAATTATCAGTTGTTGGACAAAAATTTTAACTTTCCTTGACATTTGTTTTGTGTTAAAGGCCTCTGAAGGCTGAAGGAACAGAAGACAATGAGTTTCTGATGACTAATGACTAGCAAGCTGGTGCTAAGTAGTCCTGTCACCTGCATGAACATGATTATTTGCTTTTTCATTATGTTTCACGTTTTATTTTGCTTCTAAGATTTGTGTGAAACAAGATTCACATTTTCCAAGAAGCAAGTTACTCCTTGAAATCAGATCACTGTAAAGGGCTGATACACAGAATGGCGTTGGCCTTGTAAGTTAGGCAAATGATCTGTGTGGCATCTGTTCAGAAAGGGGCAACTCCCTCTGAGAGAATGGTCACATGTTTATTTTGCTTTAGAGCAGAATAATAGAGATTCAAAGATTTTTTGCAGGTGTTTTGGAAGTAGAAATGCAGGGAGGATTTTAATGATTCCTGCTAACCTGCAGATACCCAGGTGGGTATCTAAGCTGAAGTTAGCTTGTGCTCCAAAATGTGATGGTTTAATCCCATCTAAATTGAGACTACAGCAGTTCTGCAGTCCTCCCCCTTCCCCCCACAGAGTGACCATGTTGTTATTTGATCTGGGAAGCTCATTGGTATGAAAATTAACCTGGGGGGGTAGAAAACCAAATCAAGATTAGCTTTCCACCAAATCAGCCTCCTAATCAAACACAGTTTAGCTGCATGAATGTGAATACTACAGTGGGAGAGGGAGGAAGAGAAACTGGAAATGTGCACCCCACAGGGTAGGTTCGGTTTTTTCTTTCACCTTTCTCTGTAAAGACATCCCATACCTTTGTGGCTTTTTTATCCTGTAGTTGTTTCTTTCACTTTTCGTTGAGCATTTTCATGCTGTTTAAATTCATATGAAACCTATTTGTCGGTCTGTCTGTATATGCAGAATGTGTGTGGGTGTCTGATGTGCATTTCAGTCAGCCATTATCTTGCAAATACATTTTCCCAAATGTTAACTGTTCTTGTCGTCTTGTATATCTTAAAGTGTACGCAGAGCTTTGTTCTAGGAGAATTTTTCTGTTCCTAACAAGGGGAAATAATTTTCACAAGTGTTATAACTGGTTATATTGTATTTATTAGATCAGCAATGAAACAGGTTTTAGGCCTCCTGAGATCTGTAATTTTCCACAACAGTCCAAAAGTGATGTGAATGTACTTGATGCCTAATAATTTGGCCTAATATTGTAGGCAAATGAAATCTGTTAATGATTTCTTACTTGCAGAGAACTTCCAAGGTTTGCAAACAGTTTATGAGTGGGTTATGTAACTATTTGCTGATACTGAGTAGAATAGCTCCATTTAGTAGTTACTAATCAAATTTGAGTAACTTACTGGCACCTTTGTCCATGCTTCCCTGGTGTGTTGAAATGGCCTCTATCTACTGTTCAGTGCAATGCTCACAAACGCATCCCAGACAGCGCCTAGATCGGTCTCACTGCATGAATATTCAGGAATGTGGTGCCAAACTTCTGTGTCCTTGCACATCTGAGATGTTCTCACAGATTGTCTCTATATCTGACCTTTTAGGCATATTTCTTGGACACAGTCTCTAAAGTGCTGCCTGCTAGAGCACCGGTTTTGTAATCTGGCTACTGCAGTTACTTTTACCTCAGTGTCGACCCTCCAAGTTTCCCCTTGTTGCTCAAAGTGTGAATTTCCAGGAGCCTGCTTTTGTGTAACTAACATTGCTCCCTCCTTCACTAGTAGCTTGGTGAGCCTTTGAGGCAAAGAATGTAAAGTCATTGCAAAGATGCTTTGAATCAATGCATATGATGTATTCATAGGATCACAGGATAACTCAGGCTGGCAGGCACCTGGGGGGGTCTCCAGTTCCAGCCCCTGTCCAGAGCAGGCTCAGCCGAGGAGTCAGACAAGGCTGCTCAGGGCTTCACCCAGTTGGGGTGTGAAACACTCAAGGCCGGAGAGAGCCCACCTTCTCCAGGCCCCGTCTCCACTACTGGACTGTCCTCCTGAGGAAAAGGCTTCTCCTTATTTCCAGCCTGAGCCTCCTGTGTTTCAGCTTGTGCTGCAGCCTCTTGCCCTCCTGCCATGCATCGCTGTGAAGAGCCCGGCTGCATCTCATCCATCCCCTCCAGTCAGTGCCAGGGATGCTGTTGGATGCCCCCAGATCCATCCCTCCTCCTAGCTGAACCGTCCCTGGTCCCGCAGCCTCTTCTCGGAGGGCAAGGTCTCCAGCCCCACCATGCGTCACCAGGATGGTCACTCTCCCCTGAAGTCCCTCCAGTTTGTTGGTGTCTCTTATGTGTTGGGGACCCAAACTGGAGGTGGTACCTAGGCAGGGTCTGACAAGCATCAAGCAGAGGGGACAGTCCCTGCCCACCCCTGGCTTTTGGGCCGTGTCCTACTCACACAACCCAGGCACCGCTGGCCCTTGTTGCTGCCCAGGCACACAGGTGGCCCTGGTGCAGCTCGCTGCCCACCAGTGCCCAGGGCTGTCCCCCAGAGCTGCCCCCAGGGCGACCCAGGGCTGCACATGCCCTCCATCCCCTCCTCTGGGTCGCTGGTGGAGATGCTGAACAGGACAGGCTTCTCACAGACCCTGCAGGACCCTGCTTGATACCGGCCTCCAGGCAACATCCAACCACCTGTGAGCCCACCACCCAATAACCACCACCCTGTGAGCCCACCACCCAACCAGGTCCTCACCCACCAATGTGTCCTCCCTCTCAGACCGTAACATTGGAGGAGACAGTGCCAAAAGCCTGGCTAGAGTAGAGGTAGATGGCATCCGCTGCTCCCCTCTCGTTCCCATGATTTTGTCGCAGAAGGCAGTCAGGTGGGTGAGGCATGATTGACCCTTGATAAATCCTTGCTGACTGCTCCCTGTCACTGTCTTCTCCCTGCTGTGCCCAGACATGGGCTCCAGGAGGTCTCACTCCTTGATTTTACCTGGGACTGACGGGAGGCTGGCCGGTCCGTGGTTCCTCAAGGTGGTTTTTGCCCTTTTTTGAAGGAAGGCAGGTGTGATGTTTGCCTTTCTCCAGTTGTTGGGGACATCCCTGATCTCCATGACCTTTGAGAGCTGATGGAGAGCAGCTGCACAAGGGCATCAGCCACCTCCCTCAGCACCCTGGGGTGCAGCCTGACAGGTCCCAGAGATGTGTGTGGGTTGAGTGCTCCCAAGCGATCCTGACTTGACCATCATCCCTGGCTGGTAGCTCCTCTCCTCCTTGAGCCCTGTCGCTATGCACACAGCGCAAAACTTCACAGAAAAAAAAACCAAACAGCTGTATGTAATGTTCTGCTTTGGTGTCCTCAACCTTCCTGAGAGCCTCTTAGTCCTGGCTTTTGACCTCCCAGGTAGCTCAGGAGTCCTTAGCACCTTGTCCCTTCCTGCTAGATGTCTAGAGAGAGCGAGCCTGCCAGCTTGGGGCAGAGCATGAGCAATTTGGGAAATACCAGTCCTTTTGAGTTCACACCTCTTGCTATGGTAATCTCTGAGGTAAAAACAGCTGCAGGTACCCTGCACACCTGTGTGTTAGGTCTATGTGCAGTTCCTCCTCTGCCTGCACAGCATAACTGAGCTGTTCTGAGTGCACCTCACCTCTGGGTGCATTTACATGTAAACGATAAGTATGTAGTGCTAATTATATAACTTACTAAAATAGTTCATTGGGCCTCTCAGTTTCAAGGTTACTGCACTGATTTGTCTTGTCAGGTGGTTAGTTCCTTTTTATAGGATTTTAGCTTTGAAAAGGCAGGTTGCTCTGGCTCTTGCTGCTCTAGGAGGGGCTGCTGATCTGACCCTGTATGCAACAGTAACGTATGAGATAGATAGTCATTCTGTGTTCATATTTTGATGATAGGCTGAAATTAATTCAGATTTTAGAAAATGTAATCCATTGATGATGAGCCTGATTGCTTTTCAGTGCTGTCTTTCCAAGCACTGGTATTTGCTGAGTCAGGTGGTGTAATGTGGTATCTAAGTGGGTAATGTAAGGTAATGCAGTATTTAGTTGGGACTGCTATTGGCTCTCTGTCTTTCAGAATGATTCCTGGATGAAAGGTCTTGTTATTGTGAGACCAGTCTAGGAGCAGTACAGCAACCACAAGGTATTTTCAGTACCAAAGAACAATAGGATATCTATGTTTTTTCTCATCTTTCATGTAAAGATCAATTTTTTTCCTGACATTTGCTGTCTCTTACCCTGGAGTCCCCTCAAGAAGCAAGCAGAAAAAATTGGAGCAAGGAAGTTAATAGCTCAGCCGTAGAGAAATTTGTCCTCTGAAGACCAATAATAAAATCAAAACGATCTCTTTCTTCTGGTCCTTCCTTTGAGGTATGCAGGGAGAGTATTAAACAAGTATAGGCATTGGCCTCATGCTCTTTGTGGCAGATTTTATCCAAATCTGCTTCCCTTGTGCTATCTGCTTTGCAGCTACATTCCTCTGAAACACTTTTAGTTTAGGTATGTCTCTATAGCAACTCTGAGTGTGGATTCTGAGTCCACATGTTATTTGACAACATGATGTCAGCAATGATCTTCCATCTGTGTTGATCCCTCACAGTCTTCTGAAATAGTCATTTAGTTGTGTATCTGTAAGTGACTTAGTGTGACTGGCTTATTCTCCAAGTTCCAGCTTGGATATTTTTTGTTTAGTTCATGAGCCTTGACCTGCTTGTCTTGGTTTGCTTATGAAGAGGCAAAATTACAACAGGTTTTGTTTTGGGGTTATCAAAATGAGGTCCCTAGATCAATAGTTTGTTTCAGCAGCTCCTGTGCTCCCTCTGATAATCCCTGGGTTTTTTTCTGCCACCACCACAGTGCAAATGGTTGTGGAGTTATGCAGTGAGCCAGACTGGGCAATACTTGTGGTTAGAGTAACTTGGCAATAAAAACCCCTCTGTGAGGCTTTTTCCTCCCCCAGCTAGATCATTTCCTCTTCATCTTTCCAGGATTCAGTTGTGAGTACATGCCTGACTTCTTTCTGGCAAGTCCCTGGATTTCTGTGATATCCTACTATTTGTCTTAGCTAGGGAAAAGGTATAGGTGGTCTAGGTTAGCTAATCTGTGTTGAATTATCTTGACAAAAATTTGGGCATTTTCGGTAGTCCCTATTGCTTTCTGACTTCTAGCAAACCATCATCATACATGTGACAACAGAGTTCAAGTCTTTTCTGCGGTGCTAGGCTAGAGGTACAACTCTTTAATTGTCCACTGAATAAGATTGTTTAGTTCAGTTATTAATTCCCCGAGAGTGTGGGAGGCTTCCTTCTCCGGTCCACTTTTGCACAGCATTGAATCAATCATATGTAATTTGCCTGTGTTGAAAAACTGGAGTACAACCATAATTTCATGGTGTCTGGTTATCAAAAAATGCCTTTCTAGAGCAGTTCACTTCCTTAATTTGCTTAGGGTTGTTTTGGGATTTGTTTTTGTTTCTTTGTTTGTTATTTTTAACCTATTTCTCTTTCACCAGTTGGTTCTCACTCATCTCCACAGAAAACTCTGTCTCTTTCTGAATGTACCTCTTCAGGGTTTTGCAGATGTTGTTTCCATATAACCTGCCCCTAGATCCACAAGTAATACAACTGAGTCCCAAGGCAGTCATTGAGTTAGGGTTGTTAGAGGCTGTTTGGTATCTTAAAAGACTAAAAGTGAAGAATTGATCTCAATTTCCCAGGGTATATTAACTTCTGAAATGTCTAAAGGAAAACTGGACTGTCAGATGTCACTGTAAATTACATTGAGGTTAATCCTGTAGAAGAGACTGGAGCCTGTTGAACCCTGTATGACAGTAATACTGACTGGATTTGGAATCTGAGTTATTCATCCAGTTGCAAACCTTTAATGTTAACTGAGCTTCTGCTAAATTTCCCTTAACATTGCACTTCAATCCATTTATTTTGTATATTCACTTTGCTGGCGTCCAAGGGTTAGTATAAAGGTCACCCTGAAGTTCTCTCTAGACTGAGGGTTGCTCCTCTCCTCCTGAATAATGATGGTAACTCCTAGATCTTTCTTCAGTACCTAGAATAACCTGTGTTAATAACCAGAGCACACCTTGGTGTCCTAAGATATTGCTCTGAAATCTCACATATGAGACCAGTAAATCTGAGCTGCATTGCTCGGGTCAGAATTGCTATATGGGACTCTCAAACTGTTACAGAGTCACACAGAACCACAGCATAGTTTGGGTTGGGGGGCACCTTTGAAGATCATCTAGTCCAACCCCCCAGCTGTTATTAATGTTCCTCAGGCAGAGAACAAATTCTGTATTGAACAAAACATATTTATGATTTAGTTCAATGTCATTTTGTCATTGTTGAGATTTTTTTCAGCTGAGTTAATTTTTGTTATATTCCGTGTCAGCAAGCGACAATATCCTTTTCTGCAGAAAAACTATTTGGACTGTTCTGATGAAGATCCTAGAGTTGCATGCAAGTGTATTTGATATAAAATAATTTCTTTATTTTTAATGTGAGATGTTGCTGTGGACGGCTGATTGGAGATCACCCAGGAGTAGACTGTAGCTGGCCTGTTTATCAGGCTGCCCCACAGAGAGATGATGGAGAATGGTCTGTGCAAAAACACACAAAGATGAGTCCAACGGATGCATTTGGTACAATCAATTTTCAAGATGGAGATCACACTTACCATGCCAAGGTAATAGATGCTGGGTTTATATGTCTGACTTCTTTTTATAATTTCAGCATAAGGAAGACAAAAAGTGGTTCAGGGTGAGTATCAGATTGTCTTAAGAGAGCAGGGGAATCTAAAAGTAAGTCAGGTTAGAGTGTGTGTATGATATTTTTACGTTGAACTTCACCACGATTAAACAGTCTGTTTTGCTGTCTGTATTGCTCGCTGATGTATTTCTGTGCTATCATGTTAGCAGTATTGAAAGTTCTAATCCTGCACAAAATCTTTAAGGCATTAATGCTGAGAACTTTGTAAAATGTTGCAGTTTCTTCTCTTGGAGTATGTAAAGTTTATTTTACCCATTATTATTTCTTCCAGTATATTAGACTCTCTTATGATAGCAATTTGGATCAGCTGTTGCACCTGATGGTTAAAGAATGGCAGATGGAGTTGCCAAAGCTAGTGATCTCTGTTCATGGAGGCATTCAAAATTTCAAGCTTCCCTCAAAGGTCAAGCAGGTTTTCAGTAAAGGATTGGTGAAGGCTGCTGAGACTACAGGAGCATGGATAATTACAGAAGGCATCAATAGCGGTAGTGTAATTATTTTTCTTTGTTTCAGTCTTCCTCTGGTGTTCTTTCTCTGCATACGAGCATATACATTTAGGGCAAATATAATGAAATTGTTTGATAATTTGTGATAATTTTAGCAAAAAATGAAACTTTTTTTAGGAACAGTGCATAATTCAAAGAGGGGCATCATGTTCCTCTGCTGTTGACAAGCATTCTGAATATTTTTAATTTTTTTTTTATTAAAGAGCATGTAATAAGAAACACTGATAGTAGATAGCCAGAACTTGCTTGCAGTCAATTTTATCTGCTTCATTAAAATGTTTAGGTTCTGAGGACTGTGATTGATGTTCTTGAAACTGTTTTCAAATCTAAATTTAACTTGTGTTTTATAATTAAGTAAGTTCTGAATTACAATAATCCATTAATTAGTTTATTAGTATCTGAAACTCCCTGTAGACTACTCTCAAAATCTGAGGGGATCAGTAAGCCACGGAACTGAAACAGTTTTACTTCTTTAGCTTTTATTCAATCTGGTGACCTTACAGGAGAACTGTTCTGTGCATTTATGTAAATAATAAAGTTTTTGGAGGTAGAAAGCACCATTAGCAACATATATGAGTATCATTAGTTACAAATATGTGTTGAGTTTGAAGCATCGGTGCATTACACCTGAGCCTTACAATTCCTGCAGTGCACATCAAATGTACAAGTGGGGTGGGATGGTTTGTTTCTGGTTAAAACATAACCATAGAATAAATTAAATGATGGGAAACCCTTTCATTGGTGTCCTGTAGCAGGTCTCCGAATGTAGAAGAAAAATGATGATTTTGTTATCTATTTAGGAGTGTCCAGACATGTGGGGGATGCACTGAAAGGCCGTGCCTCACCACACCTGAGAAAGATCTGTGCTGTTGGGATTCCTCCATGGGGTATCATTGAGAACCAGAGGGATCTCATTGGAAAAGATGTGAGTTGGACACATTTTAATCATAAAAGCCTTCACGTTCAGGGTATGTTATAGCTGTCTTGCATAGTTTGTTTTCTGCTTGCTTCATTTCACTGGTTTGATATTTTTTCTCAGTAATAGTGGCTTAGATTTTGCTCAGCAGTAGAATTCTGTGGCATGTTGAGACACTGTATTTTGCTTTTTGTATGTAAATGAATAGTTTTAAAATATTTCTCTTCTTACAGGAAATTGCCATTCCTTTTTGAAATTTTGTAATTAATTATACAATTCTCTTGTGGTTGCAAATTACGTATTTCTATATTCATGTGATTCAGGATGAGCAATCAGATTAATGGTATACACAAATAGGCTATTAATATGCATGATTTTTATTCATAAACTAGAACTTTATGTGAGTTCCAGTGTGAGGGCACCGTCTGCATAACTGCCTAAAAATACTTGACAAGTAAGGTGAAATCATTCCTGATAAGTGATAGCTCACATGTTTTTAATGGGAATACACCCAGGAAAAATATGCCATTGTGTTTCAACTGTTGCAAAGAAAGGCAGGCAGTGACTCTGCCTAAGGACTGCAAGCCTAATCAGAAATGCTTTCTGTGGTATTAATTGTGGTTTTATTGCTGTTAAGAATCAAATGAAACCCCATGTTTGAGTAGAGCAGCAAAAAGCGTGATGGAGGCTTTCAGAATATCACAATATGATGAAGAAATACATACAAGCGAGGCGACACAAATGGTGATATTTTGTTGGTTTCTTTGAAGATCTTTTTATTTTGGTTTTCTCAGGTAGTTTGCCTGTACCAGACTCTTGGTAATCCACTCAGCAAGCTAAGTACCCTCAACAGCATGCATTCTCATTTTCTAATGGCAGATGATGGGACAGTAGGCAAGTATGGGAATGAAATGATGCTCAGGAGGAATTTTGAGAAGTACATATCACTTCAAAAAATACACACAAGTGAGTACTGCTGTGGTCAGCTTTATGACAGAAAAACCTATGCTAGAAGTTGTGGAGGTACTTCGCATTTCCTGTTACGTCTTGTACATCTCCATTTGCCATAGATTTCACTGAGGTTTAAAGTTATTAATTGCATGTGTCTTGAACTCAGAATATCAGGAAAATGAGAAAGACAGCATTTTTATAAAGCATTATGCATTTGGGCTAACATGCATTTTTGTTTCTCAGTTGTAGAGACATGTAGATGACTCAGATTATTTAGTAAGTATTGAGCATTTGCTCACTATGCAGTTTTGCATGATCTCTATATCAGCAGTAGATAGTTTCCCAGCATTTTGCTAGGTGGAAAAATTGTCACGTTCAATGGAATTTGAATCCTTCTTCCCCTGTTCATTACTTTTATCCTCATCACTCTTCTAAATTGCAAGCCTGTGACATCCTCAGGTACAGAAACAGAGACTGGTTGCAAAAGGTATACCTTCAGCCAATGTTTGTTTGTCAGATTGCATAACTTCCATTGTTTGCCTATACAATAACTGAGTTATGGTATAGAAATGATGAATGAAATATTTATTACGTAGACAAATATTTATTTTTATGCACTAGGTTGTATAAATTGTTTGTGGAAGTTCACTGTTACCTAGTCATTTAAATATTGAGGTATGTTAAAAAGACATTAGCAGAGTTATGTTGAATCCTTGTTTCCTTTATCTGCTCACATTATAATATTTACAAACTTAGAAACTTACCCAATTTTTAATGTGTTCGTATTTAGAGCTTCTTACTCAGCCTCTTATACCTTTTCTTACTATGAGTTTTTGCAATTCAGACTTTCTGTTGTTTTTCCATTTCTGTTTGATCTTATTTGAAATTTATTTCTGATTGATTAAAAAAACACCCTGCTGCTGTAAAACTTGAGAAAGTCTGTAAAGAAGTGCTTGATTACTTTTCTATGTGTGTAGGTAAACAAATGGATATTGATGACATTTCAAAAGCCATCAACGTCCTTGCATGTGAGAGCTATCATAAAGGGCAGAGGGATATTCTGAAGGATGTTTCTTCTTTCCAATGCTAGGGCCATTTACAATTTTGTCAGGAGGTTTTCATGGTCTTTTTGATCTGGTCGCAGAAGTTCTGTGAAAGTCTTAAAAAGTGTAAGTCAAATTAGAGATGATGAAGGCATGATTTCCTCTCCATTGAACCATGTATGAGAGTCCTTTATGAGTATTTATTTACTAGATGTTCTGATTTTTTTGTGACTGAGACCTGTTTTAACTGGTTAGGTGTGTTTTGAAACAGGAATGGGCCAAGGTGTACCCGTAGTTGGGTTGGTGGTGGAAGGAGGCCCCAATGTGATCCTAATGGTGTGGGAGTACGTGAGGGCCAGCCCAGCTGTCCCCGTGGTGGTCTATGAGGGCACTGGCAGAGCTGCAGATATCCTGGCTTTTACCCACAAACACACGGGTGATACGGGGTGAGTAGTGGCATAATGCTCCTCCTGCTTGGTCTGTTGTATTGAGAGAGACCTGAAAACGCCTGTCTCAAAACCACTGAGATAATTTCTAATGCTTCTAGTAATGACCCCACCATGGTCTTTTGCTAGCTTTTACTTCTGTGAAGTGAGAGCAGAGTTTCTTCCTTCCCCGCCTCAAACTAGTGGTGAAAGAATTATTCTGCCAAATTTACTAAGGCTTTTTTGAAGAGGAAAAAGAAACTGCATCTAGCTATTTTGAGTTATTATAATGTTTCTCACCTTTGGCGAGGGACCCTGCTAGGTGACCCCAGAGTGCCTGCTTGGGTTTTGACTCAATCCTTTCTCCTGCCATCAGTATTCCCTAAGTTGGCTTGGATTTGGGTTGCACAAAGCTTTTGAGACTAGGGCTGGAGTTAGTTGCTGTAGGAGCCTCAGGCTAGGGTAGGAGGAGGACTAAGGTTCCTTGGCTTTGACTTTGATTTAGCCAGTGGTAACCCGGATTTGTCATCCTGGTCTAGCTCTAAGTCTTTATATCACCTCCAGTGCAGCCTCAGCTGCAGACTCTCTTAAAGCTACCTTGGTGAAATTTTTACATCTAAAATGGAAATAAATATATATATATTTGTGTAGCCAATTAATATTTTTGTGAAAGTTTTTTGAAGTCAAAAGGGCTTTTAAAATAAAAAAATCACATTTTTGAAAGGTGGCCTGGGTTTGTTCCAATTTAAAAAAATGAACAATTTAATAAACTTTATATCCTAACTGTTTATTTATTATCTTTAGTAAATATTGTTTTGGGGGGCGGTATTTTTCCCTAGTGTGTTGTATTGTGAACTTCTTTCTTCACTTGCTTTTTCTCCCACATTTTTGATCTTTAAAAAAAAAAAAATCCTGCCATTTCAAAAGAAAAGTAAAATACAGACGGAAAGATTAACAAAGATAAATGAGGGGAAAAAAGACGGAAGAGGTACGAAGCCTAATGAACAAATAATGAGGAATTTAATTTTATCCCTGTATGATTATTGAAAGAAAGAAAGAAAAAGTTTTCTAAACTTTCAGTGATTTTTAGCTCCATATTCACAATCTTTTGAAAATTGTTATCTTTTTCATTTGTTCTGTTTCCAATAGTGTATATGTATGGGCAGAACTAATGCCTGTGTGAATAATAATTTGTTATGGGATGCCTTTGCTTTGTTTTGTTGAAAGAAGGCAGGAATAAGTCAACAGAGAAGTAGAAATAGAAGAAATTTCTCATGTGTCTCTGCTTAGCACAAGTTTTGTCTTTTGCTGAGGTGTCATTTGGGCTGGTAAGAAGTAGCTAAAAATATACTTATTCTTGCTTGTAGGGAGCTGCGCCCTCAAGTGAAGGAGGAGGTCTTAGTGATGATTCAAAACACATTTAGCTTGGGACAGAAACAGTCCAGTCATCTATTTCACATTTTGATGGAATGCATGGAGCACAGAGAGTCCGTGAGTGGGGTTCAAGCTCTGAGTTTAGGACGTCTTCATTTGCTGTTATCCTTTTTGCTCTTTCTGTGGTGGGCTGGTGTGGGCACAGCAGTTGTAGGAGCAATGGTATTACTTCTAATATAAAGATGACACAAAGGTGTGTGTGCTAATTTATATATTGGGTAGCTCCACAGAGCCTGTTTAGTTAACTTCTCAAGTCTCAGTGGTTGCTTATGAAATGACAGCCTTTCTGATTTTAGTAAAAGGCCAGACATATTTGTTTTTGCAGGAAAGATCAAGTAATTCCTACTTTTTTTCTTCTCTAGCAGTGTCTTATTTGTAATTTAGAAATGTTTCCATCCATTCTTCTGCTCATAACAGAATTGTGCTGGAACTTGTCTCTGAGTATTGAAATGTACTTTTGAAATGTGCTGGCATGTTTAGCAGCTCAGGTGCTCATTTGCGAGTAAAATCATGGAATCATAGAATGGTTTGGGTTGGAAGGGAACTTAAAGATCACCTAGTTCCAACCCCCCTGCCATGGGCCAGGATACTTTCCACTAGATCAGGTTGCTCAAAGCTCCATCCAACCTGGCCTTGAACATTTCCAATGATAGGGCATCCACGACTTCTCTGGGCAACCTGTTCCAGTGCGTCACCAGACTGACAGTAAAGAATTTCTTCCTCATATCTAATCTAAATCTACCCTCTTTCAGTTTAAAACCATTACCCATTGTCCTGTCACTACGCTCCCTGATAAAGAGTCCCTTCCCATCTTTCCTCTAGGCCCCCTTTAAGTACTCGAAGGCTGCAATAAGGTCTCTCTGGAGCCTTCTCTTCTCCAGGCTAAACAACCTCAACTCTCTCAGCCTGTCCTCATATGAGAGGTGTTCCATCCCCCGATCATTTTTGTGGCCCTCCTCTGGACCCACTCCAACAGGTCCATGTCTTTCC